TTTCATCTCACCCAGATTCAATAGACTCCAGACAGCAGATCTATTTTTTCCTATCTGGCACAGGGTAGGAATGTACAGCTGGATATTATTGCCATACTTGGTAATGCCTTACATAATCTTTTATGTAGATATCCTCATGTACTGTAGATATTAAAAGAGTGGAGAGGACAGATACCTGCAGGAACCACCAGGCCAATCTCTCCTCCCTCCATCGACTGATGTTTGATTTCCACTTAGCAAATCAGTGCCTCTCACTTATCAACCATGTAGGCAATCCAGATGCATCCATATTCTGAAGAGGGTCTCCATCAGAACAACCAGTGCCACTCGCTGGGTCTGGACCCTGATTAAAAGAGGTCTAAATAATTTGCTCTCTCTGGAGTACTCTATAGCTGAAGCCTCTACATCTGCTCAACAATTGTCTTTAAAAAGGGAAGGTTGGGAGCAGAGAGAGAATTGTGTAACTTAACTGGATCCAGAGAAAGCCTCTTCAGTACCAGCAGCTCCTTTAGGAAGCTGTCATCCCTTGCCAATTATGCTCTGCTTTTCTATGGACTTCCCAAAGGTCTTTGTGTTAAAATACAATTGATCCCATTGTGCTGGGAACAATGAATACTAATGGATTATGATTCTCATTGGCAATATTATACGTATATAAATAATAGCTAACTCAAGCAAAATGATAGCTTGTTGTTCTCCTTTGAAATACTGGCCAAATAATTCTTCCTAGGGCATTTTGTTTTTAGTTCTATTTTGCTGAATTCATTTATTTTATTTTTTTCCCACTTTTCTCACAGTCTGGAAATCCAACCAACCTTTACACTTCAAATCAAGAAGAGCTCCATTCTCAACCTGCATCCAATAATTCTTCAGTGAGCCCTCGCCAAAGACCCATCCAGCACAGAAGAGCACCAGGTTCAACCAACTTCAATCAAGTTCAGCAGCCAAGAGTCAACACAAGCCACGTGGGATCAAATATGCTGATTCTCCTTCTTGTTTTAGCATTGGCAGCACTAGTTGTTAGACGCATATATCTAGCCAATGAGTATGTATTTGAATTATGAGATTCTCTCATTTTAAAGACCAGTGACTTGAATGCGTTATTGAAACGTTCTATGTTTGGTATGTCATGAGGATTGTTTACATAAGATTACTTTTTTGTATTTTCTCATGTTAAAAGAGAATGCCAATGTACCTGATGAGGTATATTAATATTTTCAAGGAATAAACACTTTGATAGTGGTGAAAAAATGATTAACAATCTGTACAAACTGACAGATTGCCCAAAATGTCTTTTGAGAATATTCTGAATTAGCAGGATATTTAAGGGTGAAGGGACTTACTGCATTGTGCACAAGCTTTGATGGGTACTTTTAACTGACAGAGTCCTAAAATTGTGTTCTATGCCAATATGGATTTATGGATATTTATTCAAAATAGCAGGACAATAAAGGTTTATTCATGACAGGGCTCCTTAAATTGAAATGCAGAAATGTTTGCATAGTAAATGTTATTAAATAAAGGAAAGCTGGTAATATATAATAAGCATGTTTCCTACCTAAAAATTTCAGGAAATGAAATGTTGTAAATTGTGAGCATTTTTTTAAAAAAGTGAGGAGAACAGAATATACTTTACTTTTTACTTTTAATTGTCCTTAGAATAATCTTTTGCAAGTTTTGAAGGCTACTTTTAAAATATTCAGTTGTGTATATTTTGCTTTTTTAAAGCTGAGAATTTGCAAAATTGTTATGTAATATTTACCCAAACTTTATTGACTATAACTTATTTCAGAAATATACATAATGCATTAATTGGTTGTTCATGTGCTCATCATTAAAAAATAAAATGCTTTTTGAAACCCATCAACAAAGTTAGAATATTTTCATAAGTTTATCTAAGAAATGCTTGGGGGAGAGGGAACCTAAGTTTAATTATTAGTTGAGCTTGTCTAATTGCTTCATTCATTGAGTCTGCAAGCAATTGATTCCAAGTAGGAGCTAGAGGTAATGTTGTCAGCCCTTCACAGTAGACTAGATCAGGAAACTGACTCCACAGGAAGACTAGAACTCTCCTTAATGGAAATGGGCTCTAGTAACCGACCCTTGCAAGCTGGCTGTGCTTCCCCCCTCAATCTGTATCCCAGGGAAGAGCCAGCCTGAGCATCTTCCTACCTGTGTTTCTCCCAAAATAAGACTGGGTCTTATTTTTCTTTTGCCTCCAAAAGAGGCACCAGGTCTTATTCTTTTGGAGGGGGGTGTTGTCTTTTATACTCACCTCTGGCACTGACAGCCCCACCCAGCCGGTCTATTTCTTCTACAGCCGAAGAGCAGCTTCATTCTGCAGCTGCATTCCGGCCTGCATTTTGCAGTCAGGCCTTTCCGGAAGGTCACTACAGCCTGGTACCAAGCTATGGATACCGCAGAAAAAGTGGGCTAGTGAGGAGAGGCCTGGTAAGTGGGTGCGAGGCATATGGGGCAGGTCCAGCCCCCCACCCTAGCTTGATTTTTAGGTGTGTCTCGTCCCCAAACTAGGGCTTATTTTTGGGGTGGGGCTTATATTAGGCCCACCCCCAAAAATCAAGCTAGGGCTTATTTTCAGTATATGTCTTACTTTCAGGGAAACGCAGTAATACTACCTCTTTTCCCAGGTATGAAGGAATGCTTTCTCAATGTTTTTTTCAAGGCTGTCCCCTGGCTCTCTTCCTGCCATACCTCCGGATGCAGTCAGCTTCTAATTTCTGTAACCATTCCCACTGGCAATTTAGTCAAATACAATGATCAGGTCAGATGCACACACACACATCATTTGTGGATAAGCAAGAAATCTCTTGAATTAAAATCAAATCAAGAGAATAATTAATAGCAAAAGGAAGTAGTTGTCAGTGATTTTCCCATTTACAATTATCTGAAAGATTTTCAATGAATTAAAAAGTTTACAATATAGACAAAGCAAGTAAGAATTTGAAATACAATTATGAACTGATGGTGAACGTATAATTGTTAAAATGTGCAAACTTCTATTGAAATTTAAAGCAGGAAGAACTGGTTAAAGAACATACAATCAAGTGGGCTAAGAATGTTGGTTATAATACACAAGACTGGTGGGAAAAGATGTGGCTAAAAGGGTTGAAATGTATGTTATGATCTCAAATATAATTTTTATAAAATGTACTTTGTTGGCACATGACGCCAGCAAAATTATCTAGAATGTATAAAAGCACTTCAAATGTATGTTGGAAATGTGGACATGAAGGGACATTATGTTTGGTAGTAAAAAGGTAAAGATAAAAGGAGTCCCTATGGATTTTACTCCACTAGTCGTCGCTGACTATAGGGAACTATGCTCATGTCCATTTCAAGGCCACTGAGCCAGTGCTGTCTGAAGACTTTTCACATTATTGTGGCCAGCAAAACATCATGGAGTGCCGTTACCTTCCCACCAAAATGGTATCTATTTATCTATTTGCATGCTTTCAAACTGCTAGGTTGGCAGGAGCTGGGGCAAGGACAGGAGCTCACCCTGTGGTGCAGGGCTCTGGTCTCAAACCTGGCTTGCCAGCTTACTGGCAAGCCGGCTTGCCAATGTGTTAACCACTGAGCATCTTAACTACTGAGCCACCATGCCTCCAATTATGTTTAGTGGACATATAAAAAAAACATTCTCGATTCAATTGTGTATTGATCTTTAAAATCCTCTAAATCAAAGTATGCATTTGAATCCAAATTCTTTTAGCTTTTTTAAAATGTTCGGTGGACATGTAAAAAAACTAAAAACGTTGGGATTCAGATACGTACTTTGATTTAGAGGATTTTAAAGGTCAATCCTCAATTGAATCCAGAATTTTTCCTTTTAGGATGAAAAGATAAACAATTAGAAAAAAGTTATGGAAGATTATTTCAATATAAGATTACTGAGGCAAGATTACTATATATGCACAGAGATAGAAAGATTCAACATTACCCACAATGGAAGTTAATATTGGGAAATATTGGGAAAGTTTGCTGAAATGGATAAATTATCTTCTTTGTTTAGAGAAAATATGTTATCTACATTTATTGGTAACTGGAAGCCTCTTACAGACTTTTTGCATAAAAATGAAAAAGAACCCCAATTTATGGTTTCAAGATTAGCCATAGAAAAGAGTATTATGATGTAACTTTAAGAGAGGGTTAAAATATATCTGCACTTATAACTGCCCTGAAGAATGTTGGAAGCTACTTTATAATTTCTTTTCCTTTCCTATTTTCAAGATTTCTTTTTTACTTTTTTGCTTTTTCTTTTTTAGTTTATATTAGTTTGGATTGATTTTTATTTTCCTAAAATTTTAATAAAAATTATAAAGTAAAAAAAAAAAGTAGGACATCAAGTAATCCCTCTATTCTAGACCACAAGGAAAAGAATTTGGTGGTTGTGGATGAAGTAATTCAACACCTTTATCAATACAGTACTTTTCTTAAAATCTGTCTGTGTTGTGTGTCTGTGTGTGTGTGTGTGTGTGTGTGTGTGTGTGTGAGAGAGAGAGAGAGAGAGAGAGAGAGAGAGAGTGCGAGTGCACCACTGATTTGTAAACTATGGTTTATGGCTTAACGTCTTAATCTGTAATTTAAACTACAAATGATAACTTTAAACAATAGTTGGAACAAACCATGGCTTTTCACGTAGGATTATCCACAGGGTCACATATTGACACCGAAAGAAAAAATGAAGGTAACATGGAATTTCCAGCTGGCTGGAAAACTAAAGGAAAAAAGAGGAAACAGACATAAAGGGTTAGAAAGCCATGACTAACTAGGCTAGGGCATTTCCAAATTCCCACTGAGCAGCTATTTTAACCGCCCCCTTCCCCCCAGGGCCGAAACGGCACGCTCGCATGGAGAACGCCCTCAGCACACATCAGCTCAATCCTTAATAAAAGCATAGAGAGGCCGGAGAGAAAGAAGGGCGTACCGTCGCGAGGTACGTCTGATTGGCACAAAGCCTGGCGGATGGAATCCCATCCCGTGTTTCCATTGGCTGTCGGCACCATCTAGAACTCAGTGGAAACGCGGGCAGCCGGGATTACTTTCTTCGCGAGGGACGGCTAATCGGCGAGCAAGGAGGGGAATGAATGGCTGTGAGGTAGAAGGTTTAGGGAGCTGGTTTAAAATCTAAGAATGGTCGTTCGGACAAATGCAACGCTTGAGAGATGCAGATAGTTCGATGTTTAAATCAGAGTGCATTTATCCGTCAGGAGGCGGCTGGACGGAAGGAACGGCTGATTCCCAAAGTATGCTGTATTTTTTTGCAAAGCTCATATTGTTGATCTTTTGCGGGGTCCTTCTTGGAGAAAGTAGGAAGCACAGAAAGGGGAGATGGACGGCAGAAGCGCGGGTGCAAAAAATAAGGTAAGGATAGTCTTATGATTAAATCAATTTATCCCTTTTCCTTTGGTTTCCCTCTATTGCATGTACCGTATTTGCGGAGACGTGTAGTTTTGCAAGTTTTATTATACGTTCCTGCATACGGTAGTAAGTTTGAAAAGAATGCACATTGTACCAGGAGTACAAGCTCAGCAATTGTAAATAACGTTTGCGGTTTTCAAGATTTGTTTTCCTGATTAGCATTAAAAATGCCTCTGAAATCCATGTGGTTTTCATTCTTGACTTTGTGAGTTAGGTGGAGTTCGACAACAAACCAGGTTGTTGCTGAAACACAAGCTCTATTCAAAGCACTCTGAAAACACTCAAGAATGCTTTCGTAGGAAACCTGAATTGTTTTTTTTTTATTATTATTATGTAGCAAGTCGTATTTTCATAGGATTTAAAAGAATGCAGCTTCTGGAGAGACGCTAAATTGTAGGAGCTGCATTTAAGCACAACCTTCATCGGGGATGCCACTTACAATCTTGCGAGATCTGGTACTGTTGAGCCAAAGTTCTGAGAAAAAATCATATATATTTCTCTAAAGAGTTGCAGTTTAAGAAATTGCAATTTGAACATATTTAGTTGGACAGAAATAATGTTTAGACTAGTAAGTTTTATTACTAAATAAATTTGCAGCTGCATGTCCTGTGCTTAAATAATTATTGATTGCTGGGCATTTTATTTGCAAATAAATTATTAATGGGTATTAATGATGAAAAACAACTATGGAATAGCAACAAAGGTATTTAAATTTATCAGATTTCATGTCAAGAGAGCACGTTTATATAGGAGGAAAATACTTAAAATAGCTGCCAAACCCTGAATACATTTTGGTCTTGAATTCTGCTGTCCAGTGAGAATTGCTTCTTTTCAGACTACTTGGCAAACTCAGGCCTTGCAAACCTGGTTTATTTAGCAAAACCATCAAGTTTTTCTTCCCTTCTATTCCATCTTTTAAACTTCCCCAAATCTTTCCCTAGGACTGTTCCATGCCAATTGGGATTTCAGGGGGATATAGACTTGGAGGAAAAATTTATCTGCTGTTGCATATACAGCTCAAGATTAGGATCTGGGGTGAAGATTTAAGACTTGGTAAAAGAACAATAAAGTTGCAGTGGAGAAAAAAAGATGCACCAGATTTGCATAAAACAGTTTTCCGGAGTGAATGCTGAACTAGAAAATCTGTTACTGGAAAAGTCCAATGGCCTTTCATCTGATAGCATGTTCTCAGGAAGACATAATATCAAGATTAACACGGAAGCAAATGCAAATACACTGTAAAATGGGGACAAATGCTTGGGAAGGGATAAAACACTAACCATGATTTTTAGGAGAAAAAATCGTATGAGTGGAATACAGATTTATTAATAGAACAAATGGGTGAGATGTGCGGGATTTGGCCCTGCTTTATTGATTACTCAAATTCAAGGGAAGAATGAAGGAGGATCTCCACTTTCAAACCTTAGTATCATTATACATCTTCAAGTATTAATGGAAAGTAGTATTAATGGAAAGTAGTTCTAGTTGTGATTGGGTGGGAAAGTCCTGAACAATGAAATCTGTGATCTGATTTTACACAATGTAGTCGAACCTCTGTATTTGTCTTGCTCTGGCTTGAGGGGATGCTGTTTCTTGAGCTTCTGCCATGTTTGAATGCTTTATGTTCCAATCCTGTATGTGTCGATGTATGCTTTTAACTTTTTAATGATGGGGGTTTTGTCACGTTCAGTCATTTTATATCTTTGTTGTATGCTACTCAGAGTAATCTCTTACGAGATGGGCAGCTACATAAATTTTTGATATATAAAGAAATAAATACTCATGAGACTTTATCAAAAAGTGCTTGGCCATTCAGCACACTATAGGACAACCCACACAGGTTTTGAAGACAGTAACATTGCCATATATCAGAAACAACGTAGAAACCATCAACAGACCTTTATAACCATATGACATCCCTCTAGCTAACTAAACTAAAGCCTTCTAAAACATCTTATGTAAATCTAAAGACTAAGTAGCTCAAAAAGAGGAAAAAATGGGAATCATCTACAACATACAGTGTAAGGATTCTAACAGCCACTATGTAGGACACAGAGGCAGGAGATTAGCAGAGCACATTGATGAACGCCAGCTAGCAATAAGAAGACCAGATGAAAACTCCTTAATTTCACAACATATGGACAACTGGGAAAACTCTGAGCATCCTAGACCAAGGTAAATCCAAAAATGCTAGGGAATTCAGCTTGGCTCTCAGACAAATCAACCATCAATATCTACATAGACCTAAACATCATTTACACACCATTCAAAAGTAAAAAAAAAAAAAAAACTAAAAAAGGAAACAAAAAGTTCAGAACACTTTGCCATCAATCAGCACCCAGATGAACAGGGATTAACACCAGGATTGAACCTAGACAAGCAGCAAGACAAACAAGCAGCAACCAACAGCCTAATCAAGGAAGTACCCAGAAGAAAACAACACCTTAACCAACACTGACAGGACGAGGTACTGTATGCAAATAGAGAGTAAACACCACTCCTTTCTAGCTCTGGCTGAAGATGTTGCCCAGTTGGGTAACAAAACATCTGCAAACAACCAAGCTTGGAGAACAGCAGGGATCCATAAATCAATATTTAGTATTTAGTCCATAATATCATAATATGCAGAAGGTATTAGTAAAATACATAAAATGAGCAAAGTGGTCCTTCAGATATAGCTTTTCTCATTTCAGTTGGGCAGAAAAGGTAAATTTCCCAGCCTTTTCCTTATCTACTCATAGAGCAAGCTATGTAACTCAATGTTCTGAGCATTGCACAGTTGCTGTTAGTTGGCCATACTTAAAGCACATATGTGATTTTGTTTAATAAATATGTATCTAAGCATCCTTGCCAAATTAGAATTCCCAAGATTCTTTGGGGAAAAGTCAGTGTTTTGAAAGATAGTCTTCAAATTATCATCATAATTGAGCCTGGAATTACAGTCATAGGTTGTGCCTATTGTTAAGTGGGTCACAATGTGGCAAAACCTGATTTTGCAACTTTTTTTGTGGTGGTTAGTAACTGAATCACCACAGTTAAGTGAATGCAGTGATCATTAAGCAAATCCATTGTTCTTAGTAAGATTGATTGATTGATTTGCCAGAAAGCAGAAGTAAATTTTGGTTTCTGACCAAAAATACCATCATAAATTTAAGTCCCATGACCGTGGCTCATTGCAAACAGCCATAAATGGATTGGGGGCAGGTTGCCCTATATTTGATCATGTCGCTACAGTGGGGGAGTGGTTGTTAAAATTTAAAATTTGAGTTGCAAGTAACCCTGGTGAGGTTTGTTGTAGTTTCTAATAGTCGCTAAGTGACTGTAAGTAGAGAATCTGGACATGCTTTGTTTCTCCATGCACTGAGAAATAATCCAAGAAGGACTAAAGTGCAGAGTGGCTGTTCCTGTATTCCCCAAGAAAGAGGAAATCAACCCCTTTCCCACCAAAAGAAAAATGAGGAGACAAGTTGAATAACATTTGCATCTTACATATTAGATGTAATTTAAACAGAAACCCAAATCTCTCTCATCAGGAAGTATGTGAGCAAATAATTCGTATATTGTTTTGGTGTAATTGGGGGCAGCTTTTGTTGTTTTACCCTCTTTTCTTGTGGCCCTTCAACTTGGATGTGTGGTCTTTGAACAGACAGGTTAAGCCTAAAAGAGATGCTGTCAAAATGCAAGACTCTCCTCTAAAGTGCTGCTCAAGTTGAGGATGCTACTCTGTAGAGTAAGACTTAGGGTTATCCTACCATGAAGTAACTTTCCCAAAGTTTTCTTCTGTGAGAAGATGGAAGATTGTGCAAGAAAGGAGGAGGAGGAAAAAGACAACTTGAAGATGGTCTTGTAAGTGGCATCAGAAATGCCCAGATGGTTGCCTCTGGTTAATCTGTTTTTAATCTGCTGTTAAGCTGTTAATCAATTCATGCATACGACAATGTTATTTCTCAGGGTACTGGATTCCATAAACCCTTCCTTTTCCTACTATTTCATCAGTAGAATTGGTTGGATGAAAACAATTATATACTGTTTTACACTGAAATCTGTTTTTCTCCAGGAGCATGCAGATGTGGTACTGCAAACTAAGCTTTCTTTAGAGTTTTACAGATAATGCACATATTCTTGCAGACCACACTTATAAACAACTCATTTTGTAATCTTCTACACAATTTTAAAACTTTGGAAAACACAATTTTTAAAAATTCATAGTACAAATTCTGTTACCAAACTTCAGAGGTTTTGACCATATTTTAATGGAGCAGACATTTGGAGAGTGGGGATATTACAAGTGACCCTCAATTTATGACCACAATTGAGCCTAAAATTTCTATTGCTGAGAACAGTAAGGTGGATTTTGCTTCATTTTATGACCTTTCTTGTTAGGTTAGTAACACACGTATTAAGTGAATCTGGCTTTCCCATTAACTTTGCTTGTCAGAAGGCTGCAAAAATGACCCCAGAACACCGCAACCATCATAAAGATGAACCAGTTGCCAAACATCCGAATTTTGATCACGTGACCATGAGGATGCTGCAACGGTCATAGGTGTGAAAAATGGTCATAAGTCACTTTTTTGGTGCTGTGGTAACTTTGAACAATCACCAATGAACTGTTGTAAATTGAAGATTACCTGTATACATACACACATAAAGAAATGATGTAATTTCATTTAGTGCATATTACTATAATTTTACAATTCTAATATCAAATCAGCCCAACTGTAAGAATCAGATATTTAGCAAGATTAACAACAATACCTGATTATCAATGTGTTTTGTAGTTTAGGAGTGAGGCAGATCAGTATTTTTTCCTGAAGAATTGTTAATGCCTAGTTGTCTCCATACTAATCGGACCACCAGATTTGAGCTTTGAAGATCCAGCCAGTTGCTAGATCTGCTGGCTGGAGAATTCTGGCAGTTGAAGTCCATTCATTTTAAAGTTGATGAGATTGAGAAACATTGTGATAGTTGGTAGCCAATAGTTAGCTTTTTGCATCTCTTTGCTCCTACTATCTGGTAGTCATCTGGATTTTATATCCTTGATCAAATACCCATTTGAAGAAGCATTAGAACAGTGGTTCTCAACCTGTGGGTCGGGACCCCATTTGGGGTCGAACGACCATTTCACGGGGGTTGCCAAACAAGGCTGTCCACCATTTTTTCCCCTTTGGCCACGCCCCTGTTACATGGTGATGTATAAGTGGTTGGGGGGTCACGACAACATGGGGAACTGTATTATGGGGTCACGGCATTAGAAAGGTTGAGAACCACTGCATTAGAAGAACCAGGTTATTTAGCTATGTAGTACATTGCAGTCTTCTTTACCCTTATTAGCCTTCATTTAAGCACAGTACACTGAATTCAAAGTTCATTTGGTTGGGTTTATACCACTAAAGTTTCATTCAGTTATGTTTGACTGTACCTTTTAGAAAACCTGTTGCTCCATGTCTTGATTTGGATGAATTCAGGCAATTAATAACAAATACATTCAGTAAATAGAACTAATCTTTGGATTAAATTTACACCTATTCAGTCAGACCATGAAAAGAGATCTCAATGAACACATTAAAGTTGATTATGAAGAGGGAACCTTAACTACAGATGCAATCTGTATATATAGATTGTATATTCATACATAAGATCTTATTTTGTTAAAAGTATGGGTAGTCCTCAACTTAACGACCATAATTGAGCCCAACATTTCTGTTGCTAAGTGAGATAGCTGTTAAGTGAGTTTTGCCCCATTTACCACCTTTCTTGTCATAGTTGTTAACTGCAGTTGTTAAATTAATAACATGGTTGTTAAGTGAATCTGGCTTCCCCATTGACTTTGCTTGTCAGAAAGTTGCAAAAGGTGATCACATGACCCTGGGACATTGCAACTGTCATAAATATGAATCATCTGAATTTTGATCACATGATTGTGAGGATGTTGCAATGGTTGTGTGAAAAATGGTTATAAGTCACTTTTTCCAGTGCTATTGTAACTTTGAACTGTCACTAAATGAATGTTTTAAGTTGAAGACTACCCATAAATAGGATGCTGTTGTGTTAGTCAGCATAAAAGTAGTTTTCCCTGGTCTAGTGCTCTGAGAATTTGTTGGTCTATAATACCCATCAACACTAACCATGAGGATCATTGTTGTCTGGATGTGGTCCAGGTTGGGGAAAGACTACTGCTGTAATGGATAATATCAGTTCATTCAGTTTTCACGTTTTCAATTCCTACACTTCCATTTGTCTCAGGCACAACTAAAGATCCAGATATATGATATTGTCAGGATTTCTCTTATGCTACATTTTCTCTGCTTCTTGAGGATAGTTCTTCATGTTCCCAATTTAGCACAAAGATATCATGTTGGGACTTAGAGCTGACTCAGTATGCTGGCATGCTCTTCCATCTTGGATAGTGAGATGGGCAGCATATAAATTTAATAAATAACTTCATAGTCACTCTACTGTATGGAATCTCTTTGCAAATATGTAATTTCAGTATATTATTATTGGCAAACTATCCCTCCCCCCTCAGCTTTTTAAAATGTTCCTTCTCACAGTTACCAGAAATTATAGGTGAAATTATAAAAACAGAAATTATTCTTGTTTTTCAATTTAGTTACTCATATAAAAAGAACTATGACATGACCAAAACTTGGCCGGGGAGCAGCAAAAAGCTTCTAAGGGTAGAGGACCATGATTTCTCCATGAGGCCTGCCTTTGGAGGTAAGAAATGTGTGTTTACTCATCTCTGTAAAATTGAATGATTCAGCTTAGAAGCTCCAAGCTAGCTGCTTCAAGCTATTTTTTTTTTATGAACCCTCCCAACTGGATGGTGAGATTACTCTATAATTTCAGAGCTTTGCTAAAGCTAGAATATAAGTATACCAATGACTTTCCAGGAATACATGGAAGGACTATACGCCCATCTTATTGACTGTCTTCAGGAAATCTGGTTTGCTAAATGATACTCTATTCTGGGGAACTATAAATCTTGAAAATATAGAGAAAGCATACAGCATCCCTGTTATATTGAACTGACTACATAATATAATTCCCAGAACCCAAGGTAAATAAAATATTTATTAGCTCACAGCAGTTGCCTTACGTTCTTCACATTTAACCACATTAAAGCCTAATACAGTGCATTTTGCTCAGCCATAATTTAGTGCCCAGGCTTGATTTCCCTGAATGGATCCCAAATCCTGATTGTGTGTCAGTCAAGTGGATTCTTGCATCCTGCTTGGAGACAGAGGAGGAGTACATGGTCACCTGCGGTACACAAGCTCCTCAATTGAAGCCCTCTAGCCACTGTTGCTGCAAATCAGTTAGGCGGCTTGCTGATATTCAGCAAGTCAGGCAGTCAGTGATGACAAAATGTTGCATGTAATTGGCCGATCAAAGCTTGCCCTATTTTATATGTGAGAAGCACGTTAAAAGGGAACTGGGCTTCCATTGTCCAGTGGCACCCGCTATTTCAGTGTTGTTGACCGCCTCTGCAGATGCCCCTACTTCTATTTAAGGCAGGAAATACAAAATGCCCACAGTGTAAATCATAAAATAGATTACATAGTTGATAAACACCCTTTCCCCACCAAAAAAAGCTGAATGGGAGGAAAAAACCCCAGGAAATTGCAGCTTCTTTTGTAACATTTTCTCATCCTTTATGCCCTTTGACACCCCCACCCCAATGCCATTCTTCCTTGGGAAATATGAATTCCATATGGACCCGCATTCAACATTTCTGCTTGCTTGCAGCTAAGTCTTTCTTCTCCTTCATGTCCTGTTCTGTGTAAATAGGAGTCACATCCTGTTTGACCCTTCCTAAGTGATTCCTCCATGCTAGTGACTTTGCTGTTCCTAGCAGATGTTCAGGCAATATTTGTTTCAAATACTAATATATAACCATTATGTAAATGTTGCTCTTAGACTCCCTCAAATTCTGAGTCAAAGCATTTTCATCTAGGTCAGCTCATTTTTCCAATGAAAACAACTGGGATTCCATGAATAAGCAGCTTTAGCTGATACTTAAAATAGCACTATCTTTTCTGTGGAAGAACAGCCTAATGTGTTGTGGGAGAGTTGTTATTCATCTCCTCTATCCCCAACTTAGTACAAACAGCTTCTACTGGAGGGCATTTAATCTGGACATACAGTTGAAAGTATAAACGGGCCCACTTCAAGGGCAAACTTAATTGCTAAATTTTACTAATACATTGTCATAGGTGAAAGAATACCACAGTGTGCTATAGTATCTAGCATATAACCTATCTGGCTGTTTCCAGAATTTTGGAGGGTTTCCTTGGGTTTGGTTTTCTAAATGGGAATTTGGCACTGCAGGTTTTCCCCTTCCTTGCCTAAGCTACATCTTGGTGCCTCAGGTAAAATTGAGAGAACCTCAGGTACTGCATTGTTAATCAGAAAAGAGGCAGTATAAAGCTTCTGAATTGTATCTGTTTTCCTTGAAGAGAGTATTATTGTGATTGCACATTATGGCTGTGTTTATGCAGCCCTTTTAACCAGATCAGTTAAACACACAGCACACAAGGATGTATAGGTAACTTCTGAACAGTCTCAGTATAGCTCAGCCTTCTGGTTTTCTTGAGGTCTGAAGGTTTGATATGGCTGAAATATTTGGTCCTTGGGGGGGGGGACCTGGACTACAAGTTCCATGGGACTAGAATGATTCATATAATCTTGGAATGCAAACTTGGCAGTCAAATTTACTTGTGCAACCTCCATCCTATTCTTTCAGACTGTTTGTGTGAAACATTGTCCTCCATCACCTGTTTTTCTTCTTGCAAGAAAAAAAGATTGTCAGACTAGATTTACTTCTTTAAGTACTACAGCAGAGGCTGTATTGAAAATTGGTATCTACAGGGCCTTCCTATTTTCAGGAGAAATATATTGAAGACACTGGGATGTTTTCCCTGTGAGGTAGGAAAGCAGCATGAAAGGAGTTTTGTTGATGATCTAGGGCAGGGGTAGGCAACCTTGGCTCTTTTATGACTCGTGGACTTCAACTCCCAGAATTCCTCAGCCAGCCATGCTGAGGGGAAAGGGAGAGGTTTCCAAGCTGAGCCATGCTGGCTCAGGAATTCTGGAAGTTGAAGTCCACAAGTCATAAAAGAGCCAAGGTTGCCTACCCCTGATCAAGAGGAAAACAATTAAGAAATAGCTGTCCAAATTTTCAGCCTCCTTCCAGAATAGCATTTCAGTTTAAAAAAAAAAATTGTTGGAAGGGCCTTCCAAGGGAGAAACAGATTGTAGCATCAGTGTACAGTAGTCGATGCCTTACCCTTGGATGGCGGGCTGGGAAGATGCTCTTTTAAAACTTGTTTGGAAAGCTCTGTAAATCAGAGCCTCTAAAACTTCAGAGTTTTATGTAATGATTTTAAGTATTGTTTTAATGAAACAGAGCTTTATTTTATGAAAGAATAAAGCTTTATTCGAAGAGCCTTCAGAACTTTATGAAATACCTGGTTTTGTAGGACTCAGACTGCAGGGTAGAATCTGCTTGATGTTGTGAGGGAAGCAGAAAGTCCACAGCTTTGCATTTTCCTCATAATGTACATGTGGATACAGGGAGTTGTTGCAAGGGAGGAAGTACTTTTTTTCCCTAGCCATATATGTTTCCCTACAAATGCTACTCTTTCAAATGCTGCCCTTCCCATTCTGGCTGTGGTTGCCCAATGATTTTGTTATAAGACTTGTTTGATAGCTACAGTTGATTTAGTGTTTTTTAGAACTCTACTCAAGTTGCCTGCTCTCTGCTATGGTATGCGTTTTCACCACATCTGATGCAAGAGCGGTAAAGCCACCTATTTTAGTTACATGATCCAATTGCTCTGGGAAAATAGGAAGTCTCCTTTGTAATTGATGCAGTAACATCTGATAGCTAGGCTTGGCAGTGCGTGGTCTAAGAACTAGCCCTAAATATACACAACAGAGAGAAAGAATATAAATGTTTCAATATTACAAATACAAATCCTAAACAGGAAACCATATATGTGTAGCTGAAATATAACTTAAGGCAGACATCTATTCTGGAAAGGGTATTTCTTTTACTCATAAGGAAAGATTAATACCCTTCGACTCTCAGTTGGGCCCTGCCCTCTGTTTGCTTCAACAGTGCTCTTTTCCAGTGTCAGCCCTATCTTTACAGCTAATCCCCACTCCTGGAAGGAAGACATATTAATACTTCAACCTCTCTACAAGGAAGTTCTTCTGTGTTTAATTGATGTAGGAAAAGAAAAAAACTTATTTCAGACGTTCAATCATTAAGCAAGGACTATTTATATTCAGTATCTCAATTTCTTTCTCTTGCAGGCCCGGCTATTCCTGTTGGAGTGGATGTTCAGGTTGAAAATTTGGACAGTATTTCAGAAGTCAATATGGTATGCTATTGTTGCTTAATGTCTCTTCTTCCTCCTCTTCTCCTCCTCCTCTTCCTCTACCACCACCACTTGAGGTATCAGGGGAGATACGCAGTTCTGGTTCTTGCACTTCTGGTGGACTCAACCATTGTTATTTCATGCTTTGATGTTATCTCTGCATCTTCTTCAGGGTCTGACTTGTGTTCTTGACCTTCTCCTCTTTTTGTATATGCCTTGTATGGTATAGAACACCAAGACATATATGTGTATACAACGTATGTTAATATTTATTGCATCAACTGATTTTTTATGGTGTAGCAATCAAAATATTATGTTGTCAATTGGATGATTGTTATAGATTTTCTTAAAAATGAAAGCCTAGTTGGAATTGAATAAAGCATAATATGTGAAGAAGTAACACTGAGAGATTGAAATTAAGAGTATAGTCTGTGCATTGTTGGATGCAGAACTAGCTCTCTCAGGAAATTTTGATCTATATCATGGCTTTAAATGTTTATTTTTAAAAGGAAAAAGCTCTTGAACTGCTTCTCCAAGGAACTAGTCACCATTTGTGCAAGAAATACAATAATGGTTGGACTTAACAGATCATACTAATGGTTTAATGTGTTCCCAGGCAGCTATAGCCTATTCAGTAAACCATCATTAAACCTACCATTGTGCAATATTGAACTAAGGTAATAATATTGTTTGGCTAGCATCTGGGATGCAACAGGTGGCCATTGGGAGATAGTCTTCTTATTTTTTTCTGATAACTTAAAAAACTCACAATTGCCAATTAATTTATAATTTTAGTTTTTTATAAGATCAGGAGATATAATCACAAGTTATCTCACCCCACCCCACACTTTGTTTCAGGACTTTACAATGACATTGTATTTGAGACATTATTGGAAGGACGAGCGTCTCTCCTTTCCCAGTCGTACGAACAGGAGCATGACTTTTGATGGACGGTTGGTAAAGAAGATCTGGGTGCCAGACATTTTCTTTGTCCACTCTAAAAGATCATTCATTCACGATACCACCACTGACAATATCATGTTGCGAGTATTCCCAGATGGCCATGTACTCTATAGCACGAGGTAATCCCACAGTTATTACTCCATATATTTTTTTCCAGTATTGTAATTCAAGCAGATCTTTGTGACGTGAACAGATTTCAAATATGGCTATGTGGATTCATATAATACCATGCCTGTAGCTTCTCCTTTGTGATAACATCAACTCTTATTTTTCTACATGAATTCATATATTATTCTTATTAATCCCTCTTTCTTTGTAACAACATCAACTCTTTTTTTATCTATTTCTAGGATCACAGTGACAGCAATGTGCAATATGGACTTCAGCCGTTTTCCCCTAGATTCACAGACATGTTCGTTGGAGCTTGAAAGCTGTCAGTAGCTTTTATTTATCTTTGGTGATAAAACTACAGGGGTAACAAATTAAGCAGCAGTCAGTCTGTTGGCTTTACTAATATCCATTACTTCTGCCTGAGCTGGTTGCTTCTCTGCTTTTAGGCAAAGCCATCCTGCAGTATCCATTCTTCTGCCATTAAAAATACACTATTTCCTCTGCCTTTTCATGTTCAGCGAGAGTTTAAAAAGATATTTGTGGATGGGGGACTCACAGAGTGGATTTTTAGAAAAGTGAGGAGTGCATTGGGGAGACCACGTCCAGTAGATGAGTAACTATAGATGGGACTATGATTTTCTGGACTACTTTCTCTTTGGTGAATTACTTTGTTTCTCTTAACTGCATGAAACCCATTTGAAGCTTTTAATGTTATTTTCGTTTATTTCCAACCTCTAAATTTAGGAAATCCGTAGACAGTGGGGTAGTCTGATGGGTTTTGGGGGAGTCACAAAACATAGGCCTCTGATTAATTGGCCTGTTTCGTAATTTTGCTGCTGACTGGTAAAATAATTATTTTGCTTTTTCCACATCTACTTTTGCAGATGCGTATACAGATGAAGAATTGATGTTATACTGGAAAAATGGGACGGAATCTCTAAAAACAGATGAAAAGATTTCCTTATCTCAATTCTTGATTCAAAAATTTCATACAACCTCCAGACTTGCTTTTTATAGTAGTACTGGTATGGCAAGAACGTTTCACTCTGTTCTTTCACTCTGTATTTCCCCTGACAAACTCAGGCAGCCATTTGGTCTTCCACTACCTTTTTTAATTCTCCCAACTATCCTGTGCAGCATATAGTATTAGAGATAACTGAGATACTGAGTTTTCCAAAGTTTCTGAGTGAGTTTCATTGCTAAGTACATCTTTAAAACTTCTGGTGCCGTTTGAGAATTCTAACATCACCACTGTGGCCTTGTGTTCTCTATTCATATAGTTGCTTGGTGAATGTAAATAAAGCATCTCTTGTAAACTAAAGGTTAACAACTTATATTAATAGTCATACATTAAAAAGCTTCTTTGCTATCTCATCTTAATATGGCTGTAATAAGGTCCCCAAACGTTCTCTCATGTTATTTACAAAATGAGGTAGATATTATTAAAGCAGCATATATGTTTTTTTTAAAAATCAAATGCACTTTCTGAATAATTCAGGCTTCAGAACAAAAGTGCAAAAAGACAGTAACTTTCTTGAGAAGACATCTCTCCAGATACTACAGAATTACAGCTATCACTGCCTTCACTGTTGAAGAACTTGATGGAGCAGCTAGGCTGTGTAGTTCAGCATTGTTTCCCTTCTTTGTGGAAGATACATGGTTTATAGCAATAAGATTAAGGTACTTGTGTTTCCAGTGGTGTGTCTTCAGCATCACTGTACAGTTGTAAACAGCATAATTGTTACAAGGACAAATACAGTACTTAAATTTAATTGCATTTTGAAACTACTTTCTCCCCTTCTCCCTCCTTCCCTCCCCCACACAGTGTCTATCAGCATTTTTTTTCTTCCTCTTTTTGTATTCTTTCAGTCTATCTCTTTTTCCCTGCCCCACTTTCCTTATATTTTATCTGTTGGCATATAAAATGCCTTTTCTAAAGACTGTTCATATTTCTGCTCACTTCACATTTTAACATTTTTCTTCAATAGGTCGGTACAATCGCCTTTACATTAACTTTATTCTACATCGCCATATTTTCTTCTTTCTGCTCCAAACCTATTTTCCTGCCACGTTGATGGTCATGTTATCCTGGGTTTCCTTCTGGATAGACCATAGAGCTGTGCCTGCAAGAGTGTCCTTAGGTGAGAGATTCCTCTGTAGACACATAAGATATGGATTATCTTATGGGGTATTTTACAACGTATCACATTTAGAAAAATATATCCATTCATTTTGATTTCTGTGCCTAAGGTTTCTATTCTAAAAATAAAATAGGGCAAGGTATGCGAAAGGCATATATTATGCTTTGTCTTTACAGAAATAAAAATATAATACAATATCTTAGAAATTAATCCTTGATAGATTAGCGTTAGCTATAAAATATTTATTCAGTTAGATTTAATTAGGTTAATTAATTAGATTTATATGGCTGCCTATGTTACCAGAATGACTTTATTTTATTTATTTATGAGACTTATATACCGCTTTAAGTGCAAGCACTCTCTAAGCGGTGTACACCAGTAAGCAATGTATATATATATTTACATTGCCCCCAACAATCTGGGTCCTCATTTTACCTACCTCGGAAGGATGGAAGGCTGAGTCAACCTTGAGCCGGTGAATTTGAACTGCTGACCTGCTGAACACAGTCAGCTAAAGTGCCCTGTAGTACTGCACTCTAACTGCTGCGCCACCTCGGCTCTTATTGGTGAATACCGTAAATGCCGGCGTACAAGGCGACCCGGCGTATAAGACGACCCCCGTCTTTATAGCCAGGCCGCATTCCTAGAACGTCGTCTTATACGCCGGAAACTACCAGTATTTCCGGCGTAATAAGACGACTCGGCATATAAGACGACCCCCGTCTTTGGCGCCGATTTCAGCGCTCGCGGAAGTCGCCTTATACGCCGGCATTTACGGTAACAACAAATAAAAGCACATACAAAATAACAACCAATATATAAAACCACTGAAATAAAAGCAAATTTAATGAACTTCCAGAGCCGGGAGCACATCCAGGCCTGGGAAGCTTCTCAGAAAATGAGCAGTGTTGGGATCAGTCTTCTCCCCCATCCCCAAATAATATTATTAAAGGTTATAATTACAATAGTAAGAACTAATACAGAGTAAAAGAAAATAGAATAAAAGGTGCAAAGAAAAAAAAGGAAAGGTGGGAATAAAAATTAAAGAATATAGTAAAGGAAAAAATAAATATATAAATAAATTATGTTCAACCTTCAACCACAAGTATAAACAATTTTAATAAATTTTTACTTCCTCTTAAATTACAAAAATGATATCTTCTTCCCATATCCCATCTCTTATCTATAAAACAAATCCATAAAGCATAGTTATTTTAGTTTTTGTGTCAGCAAAAGTCCATTAAAGGTGACCAGAAATAATGAATCTATTTTAACCTTGATGAAATAAACCAACTTTATATCCCTTCCCTAATCTTTAGTCCATTCAAATAACATCATAGAATTTGATTTCTTTTCATTTTTTTCTTTGTCCCTTTTTACAAGATTCTTCAAAACTTTTAACAAGTCTCTTTTGTAAGACCAATATAATAAAACTATCCAGGTCATTCCCTTGGCTTGTTATGTATATTCAATTTTAATTATTAAAATATCAGCAACTTTCCTTTATATGCCCAGAGCAACATTTTTTTCAGTAGTACATACAGTTCTGTAACCTGCCATTTGTAAATCCACTTTCAACTCTGTCTTGTAGGTAAAACTTATTTCTTTTTCATAATATCTTCTAGATACAGTCTAACTATAGAGGTTGTTGTCACTGTTAATATTTCTGGTTCCATTTTTCAAAAATGTCCAATGTGTCCAGTGTTAGAATATTTTATGCCATTCTGTAACACTTAGCGATGTGTTCTTCTCCTTTAACTGAAATCTTTAGTTCTCTCTAGTATCCAATTTTTGAAATGTTATTTTTTTTAAAAAAAAATTCAAAACAAGCATTTTCTACAGCAGTGGTCTCAACCTTTCTAATGCCGCGACCCCATAATACAGTTCCCCATGTTGTGGTGACCCCCAACTACTTATACATCACCGGGTGCCAGGGACGTGGCCAAAGAAAAGGGGGAAAAATGGCGGACAGCCTTGTTTGGCGACCCCCGTGAAATGGTCGTTCGACCCCAAATGGGGTCCCGACCCACAGGTTGAGAACCACTGTTCTACAGGAAAAATTCTTTATAATTAATTCCAAAACCTTATTTTAAATTTATCTTGACCCTTATTCATCTGTAGCTTTTTAAAATCAAAGTTTTAATCAACCTTTCGCTGCTTATTTTTTAAAAAAATTAAGCTTGTACAGCTAGTCCTTGAGGTACAATCCTAATGGAACCTCTCCATTCGGGTCATAAATCTTGTAAATCTGTTGTAAAATGAATCAGACTTATTTCAATGACAGTTTTTTACTGCACTCATTAAGCAAATCAACCGGGGCATTAAGTGAAGGAAGATCAGGTTTGCTATTTGCTTCTGTTTGTTAAGTGACCTCTGCGATTGTTAAGTGAACCCATAAGCTCGAGAATTTATAAGGTTCCCCAGTGGATCCAGAAGGAAGTGCTGTGACCTACCCATCAACTGTTCTGGCAAGGCGAGTGGGCCCTCTGCCTCCAAACTGCACCATTTCCATGCAAGTGCCTGGATTTAAATTGGGGTGGGGGGTAAATTTGCAGGGCTCCTATGGAGCCTCCAGAGGGAACCACTGCCCATCAGTTGTTCTATAAGCAATTTACAGTAGGACTGCACACACCAAACGTGCACACTAAGCAAAAGCAAAGAAGCACAGTACAGTAGAATGCAAAGAAATTTTCTGCAAGCAGTCTCAAGACACAAGCAAACAAATACAGTAGAGTATGCAAAGGAACTTTTACAGTATTCAATCTACTTTCTGTAGACGCTGGCTAGTATTCCCGCAAGCAGTTCCAAGGCAAACACAAACACAGAAATGAAAAAAAAAAATCTTTGTAAAGTACTTACAAACAAACCCAGTGTTATAGTGAAAAAGGAAAGTACTCGCAAAGGCAGCCAGTCCTCCAATCCTCAAGGCAACAGCAACAAAAGAAGCAATGAGTGGTAATGAAATTCACTCCTCTAGTACTCTACGTCAGGGCTTTTCAACCTTTTCACCCATTGTACCAGTTTTAGGATATGGCAACATCCGAATACCACCAGTCGCCTAGCCAGGATGTCAAAAACTTGACCACCCCCCGAAAAAGGAAAAATGTGATAAAGTACAGGTAGTCCTCGACTTACAACAGTTCGCTTAGTGACTGTTCGAAGTTACAATGGGACTGAAAAAAATGCCCCCCAAGCCACAGCCGAGCAAGACGCCTGCCCGCCTGGCGGCGCTTTTACCTCCTGTCCAAGGTTTTCATTGTTGTGAGCATTTCTGTTGAGGATTGGCAGCGGGGGTGGGGTGGGGGGATATTTGGTTTTTATTCTCCCCCCCCCATCTGCTGGGTGGTTGCAGCAGGTTTTGGTCACTTCACATGACCCTGGGACACTGTGACCGTCATAAATATGAATCAGTTGCCAAGCATCTGAATGTAAATCATAAGACCCTGGAGATGCTGCAACATTCCAGCTGATCGGCGCTTCTGGGCTCAGCAGAAGCGCCAGGATCAGCGCCAAGCTCCAGCTGGATCCTGGCGCTGATCCTGGTGCTTCTGCTGAGCCCTGACAGCCCTGCAGCTCCAGCCATCTCTCAGGCTTGTGCGGTGCTGCTACCGGTTCAGCTCATTCCCCTCCCCCACTACCACTTTTCTAGGATGGTCGCATACCACCTGCCATGTGCCAATGTACCACAGGTGGTACCGGTACCAATGGTTGAAAAGCCCTGCTCTACGTGGTATCAATGAGGGGGGGAAAAGCACACTGGCTGCAAATGTCCTGATCTTGATTGCTCATGTGATGGGGAAAAAATGTGCTTGAGTACAAAGACCTTGGAAATCGTGTCATAATTGCAGGCAACTTGTGGATCCCAAAAGGAAGGTCACAGGTCAAAAAAATGGCTGCTGCTTGAAGAGTGGTCACATGACTGCAGAGGTTTCTTGTTGGTCACCATTTTGAACCCCTGTCATAAGTACATTTTGGGGGTACATTTGTACCTTTGAACGCTTGTTAAACAGCCTGTTGTACCTGAAGGACTACCTGTAGTTAAATCTTTTTTGTTAAGGACTGTAGGCAAACTCACCCGGGGCTTTCAAACGTATTAATCCAAAGGTTTCTAGTAGCTGAAAAATATCTTAACTATTCCTTCCTCTGCCAAAGACTGCTGTCTTGTGAACATTTGTAAAGCAGATACCGGTATCATGTGTCCCCCCCCCTTGTTAGCAATAGATGAGATTTTTGTAAAAAATAAAAATCTGACAAACAACAAGGGCCTAGAGCAGGGGTAGGCAACCTTGGCTCTTTTATGACTTGTGGACTTCAACTCCCAGAATTCCTGAGCCAGCCATACATGGCTGGCTCAGGAATTCTGGGAGTTGAAGTCCACGAGTCATAAAAGAGCCAAGGTTGCCTACCCCTGGCCTAGAGCAGTGGTTCTCAATCTGTGGGTCGGGACCCCATTTGGGGTTGAATGACCATTTCACGGGGGTCACCAAACCATGCTGTCCGCCATTTTTTCCCTTTTCCCTAGCTGTCCTACTCCCTCTTATTGGTGTCCACACCCACTTGGGGGTCACCACAACATGGGGAACTGTATTATGGGGTCACAGCATTAGAAAGGTTGAGAATCACTGGCCTAGAGGATCTCAGAGGTCTAAGTAAATGGATACTTAACAGGTCATGCCTAGGAGTGGTAGTTACTGCCTATTTAGTATATGCGCTCAAGAGGTTTGCATTTTTATTATCTTTTCCACAAAGACTTTGAAATTAACTGTATCTGGTTATTAGAGTTGATTCAGATGAGCTTGTTGCTTGAGTTGTGTTGATCCCATCTTTGTGCACGTGGTTTCTTCAGGAATCACAATAGTCCTGACCATGTCTACCATCATCACTGGTGTCAATGCCTCCATGCCTGGCGTTTCCTATATCAAGGCTGTGGACATTTACCTCTGGGTCAGTTTTGTGTTTGTCTTCCTCTCGGTCATTGAATATGCAGCCGTGAACTACCTGGCAACAGTACAAGAGCGGAAGGAGCAAGAAAAGGTGAGAAATGCTTATTAGCATGTGCTTGGATTTATGACTATAGTAGAACAGCCTTCTCTAACCCAGCTGGCCCTGTTGGGGAGATCCATAGTAGAAATTTCTGATGTACATTCTGATAGTCTTTGCTTAATGGCCACAATTGGGAGCAGCAACTCCATTGCTAAGTGACATAGTAGTTAAGCAAGACAACACTATTGCAAAGGACAACAACTTCCCTTCCATCATGGTTATTAAGAAAATCACCTGCGATCATTAAGCTCATCATAATATGACTGCAATTTGTGATTTTTATTCCTGGCTTCTCCATTGAGTCAGTTTTGTCAGAAATCAGCTGTGAAGTGTGAGTGAACATTATAAAAAGTAAGGAGGCAAATAAAATTCCCAATATTTGAACTGGTAAAGTCTGGGATTTAGTAGAAATAATGTTGGGAGATTCAGAATGGGGAAATTCAATATAGTATTTCCCTGCTTTTACTCCATTTTTTTCAATCACTGCTGATGGGTGGCCAGGAAGCTATGACTAGACCGACAACAGGAAAACCAGGCAAATTTCCATGCATAGAATGTACCTATGCAGGATGCTTGATGACATCTGTTTGAGATGATATCCTATTAGTGTTGTTGATGTTATTAAGTTGCATGATAATGGATACAAGCCAAGTTTATTTAAAATATTTTTTTCTTAATGCACAATCAATTTCCCCAATAAAATGGCCATTTTAGTTGTCTAAGGAGCTGCAGACTAGAAGGCATGTGAGAATCCTATGGTGGATAAAAGATCTCAGTGGGTATGTTTGTGGGAGAACAGGTCCCTCAGATCTCAAATCTCACATCCGATTCTCTAGAGCAGTGGTTCTCAACCTGTGGGTCGGGACCCCATTTGGGGTCGAATGACCATTTCAAGGGGGTCGCCAAACAAGGCTGTCTGCCATTTTTTCCCCTTTTCTTTGACCACGCCCCTGGCACCCAGTGATGTATAAGTGGTTGGGGGTCACCACAACATGGAGAACTGTATTATGGGGTCGCGGCATTAGAAAGGTTGAGAACCACTGCTGTAGAGGAGAAACAGGCCCAACAAGTCTGATTTTTTACCATACAATCCAGACTGATAATCTACCATTAGAACTGCTTTCTAGCGGGAGTCTATAAAATGAAACACATGCAATTTTGAGCTGATGAAGCCATTTTTAATCACGTCACCGAACAGGTAAATATGATACCTAGAAATATGAACTTTTGTCCCTATCGTTCAAAGTTTTCTCCATTTTATTTTGAAAACATAACATCAATATCATCTCAAGCATTTTTCATATAATATGTATATTATATGTGCCTTTTCTCTAAACAACTGTAACTCGAAGACAAATCGAAATTTCTTAAGGAATTCAGGAAATTCCTTTTGTACTTAATGCAACTATTATTTTTCATTTTATTTTAATTTTTCTGATTAACACTGACAGCATTTCATACACCGTAAGATGATAAGCCCATAGCTTGAGACTCTTATCTTAGTAATAATTTTGAAAAACTAAAAGATCATGAGTTATGTTTAGGGTTTTCATTCTGTTGAGTAGAAGAGTATAGTCTGCTGGCTGTTTAACAGAATAGTCTTGAGTGGAAGAAGGATGTAGGGCAGTGGCTCTCAACCTTTTTAATGCCGCAACCCCAACCAGTCGTAAGTCGAGGACTACCCAACCGGTCGTAAGTCAAGGACTACCCAACCGGTCGTAAGTCGAGGACTTTCCCTGCCTGGGAGCGCCACGCATGCGTGGTGCCGCCCCCTGCGCCAGCTGAGGCGTGGCTGGCAAGGGGCAGTGATGGCGCAGGGCAACCACCGGCTGGGCCACCAGCTGGCCCAACCCAAGGGAGATAAGGCACCCACCGGGCCCCACACGCACCAGCAACCCTCCCTGCACCCGCCGGCCTCCCACCTCCCACCCCTGGTCCTCTTTTACTTACATTTTTAGTAGTTGCTCAGCAGGGAGGGGTGGAAGCTTCCAGACAGCTTGCCTTCGCTGCAGACAACTTGCAGCACCGTTTGCAAACTGGGGCTTTTGGCAGGATCAGCAGGGCAGAGATAGCCTGGACAATTCCTATTGACTTTTGAAAGCCAATAGAATTAGACTCTATTCAAGAAAGTCTATTCTATTGGCTTTCAAAAGCCAATAGAATAAAAGGGAGTAGCACAGCTAAGGAAAAGGGGGAAAAAATGGCGGACTGCGTTTGGCGACCCCTGTGAAATGGTCGTTCGACCCCAAATGGGTCGCGACCCACAGGTTGAGAACCACTGATGTAGGGTAACCGTTCTTGTCATTTCCCCTTTTCTCCTATACTACCACAAACCAAGTCACAAACCTGCAAAGAAGACTTGGAAGGCCCATACAGGCTCCAGATAGAAGAAGAAATAGTGAAAAAATAATTCCACCATTCCGTTCTATGAATTCCATTTGGTGGATTGTGGATTGAATCAAAGTTTAAAAGAACTTGCAAATACAAGGGTACCAAACTACAGTGCAATCTTTGTCTTCATTTGATTCATTTTGTACTTAACATTTTCCTTCTCTTTTATTGTTTTATTTTCCCAGTTTCCATGCATGGGTGGAATTTGTTCTACCAAAGGAATGATAATAGATGGCATATACAGTGAACTGGATGCAGGTAGCCCAGAAGGAGACTCCAAAAATCAAATGGTAGCTGAGGTAACTGAGCAGGACAAACAAGAGAAGATGGTGATCCATTTGACTATGAATAATGAGTCTAACTCATCAAAGAAGAAAGGGCTCAAAGAACATGTTAGCCTACGCATTATCCAGAACACTCATGCAATTGACAAATATTCAAGGTTAATATTCCCAGGCACCTATATATTTTTTAACATAGTATACTGGTCTGTCTTCTGCTGAACGTGCTATAGCTGTGTTTAACTCGGGAGATATTTAGAAGATTCCAGTAATAAAATTTTGGATTCCAAGCAAGAAAATTCATTCTGCATCAGCTTTGGCACATGGAAACACTGGATAGTTTTCTAAGAAACATTTCATACAATGGTGTTGGAGATGACTGTCTCAAGCTGGATACTTTCTGCTTTCTGTCCTTAACGTATGACAAGTTGGCTTTTCATATGTGAAAACATGCAGCTGTTCAACTTTAGTCTCAGCCATTGCAGTGTCATCATAGTAGGCATAAAGACTATACTATAAAAGTGGCCAGGAATCTGCTCTGTGATCTTTATTGAGACAGTTGGAGAAAGATTAATTTGTTCCATTTTATCAGCCAGCACAGTGATGTGGACCATCTTTATCATAAGGGATTATTGGCACCCCATATGAAATTTATTTTGTAAGAAGCAGGCGCTGTGAATTAGTCCCAAGCTAGACTAACAGGTTAAGATGGCATCAGGGAATGCATGCAAGGATCCTAGAAAGGATCATGCTGTTAACAATTTTTCTCAATTGGGGAGGAAATGAAAATGTTTCACTAAACTGAGCAGTTGATAAGTAAAAAGAAATTCTAAGAAAATATCTGCTTAAGTATTGAATACACTTCTAACGCCCTCAGAAGCAAATTCTTTGCACTATCATAGCTATGTCTCTTCACTTGGGGCTATACAGTTCTGTTGCATTTACTGGTCCATACAGATATTCTGAATCAAATACAGGTAGTCCTCATTTAGCAAGTGTTTTATTTAACAACCATTCGCAGTTACCAGAGATGAAAAAGTAAGTTTGCAATCAATCCTCACATTTATGACCTTCACAGGTCTGTAAAGCAAAGGAAAGTTGAAGTAATATCGTAAGGACAGTGGCAGTTTCACTTAGCGATCATATTGTTCAACAACCATGTTTCCAGTCCCAATTGTGGTTGCAAAATGAGGGCTACCTGTTACATTGAAAGCCTCGGGTGCTCTGTAACTTCTTTCAGTGATATTGAAGGAACCATTAGGCTCAAGTATCTGGAAGCAGCACAGAGCTAACCCAAGACATTTGGCTGCTGAAATGAAGCAGAAGTTGGAGTTTCCGTCTCTTCCCCATACGGAAATGGATGGGACTGGTGGTTTTATCATACCCCAAAGCCTCCTCTTTATCTTAGGCCAATGATATCTGTGACCTCCCAGAGCAAGTTTTTATTCTTGCTCTTCACAAATTCATCTGTATAAAGAAGCATAATTACTTGCTCTTTATAACTCTGTTGTCTCCTTTGCATGTAGAATATATATTGTTTTATAAATCTTTTCAGCAGTTAGTAGACAAAATGCTAGTATCATTTTTGAGGGCAGGATTATTAGGTATTATAAATAATTTCAGTAACAAAACTACATTTTGAGGCTGCAACACTCAAGTTTTACTTATTTGGATCAATGAACAATAGAACAATAAATCTGAAGATCAGTCTGATTTTTTAAATAACAAAGAATTGAGAGAGAACATTCCAGCCTGAATTTACAGGGTGTCCCATCCTTAGACTCGTCATAGTTTTTTTTTCTGTTCTACTGGTGGCAGGCAGACAGGAAAGAAGTGAGATTAAGGAGCCATTAGTGTCTCTCTGCTGTTTCCCATCAGTCTTAGTTTTCTTGTCCTTTCCGTCCATTATGAGCAGCAGGAGGGAACATATTCAGACTAAGACACTGTTTGTTTTCAATTCCTTCTCCAAATTGGGGCAAGGGTGCAGGGAACTGTGGTGGCAAAACTTCTCCAAGCTTGATATGACTCCTTTTGGGCCTTCCTGATACCAGGAACAGTGACAGGAGAGGCAAATCCGATTTTCTTTACTATAAAATGAGAAACATTCCTCCGACCTTAGAAGCTGAAGTCCACTTGCAATTTATACCTCTGGTTCAGGGATCCTTATTAGAATATTTTGCAACTATTGTCTAATTTATGCACATAGCTTTGTTCTGTTCAATGTATGTACCACAGAAGTGGAGCAAATGCAAATGGCAAAGATAAAAAGGCACAGAATAAGAAATGCCCAACAATAAATTTGCAATGTATGGAGAGTCTAAGCCACAGCTATTCTCTTCTCTTCTTTCTGTCCGTATGCGGCAACATAAATGACAATTTTTGCAATTGATGAACAGAGGGAGCATCCTTTCAACAAATACTGCCTGACTGACATAAGTTTCACTCCTTCCCAAATCTGCTCCTTCAGCCCCCTGAGGGAGGCAACATAAATGTCGCTCAGAGGATTTCAGAACAATCTGTTAATGTTTGTCCATGACGTTGTTGCCATTGTTTTCTACTCTTCCTGCTGACACAATTATTATATAGTTATATGTGAAAGAGATGGCCCTTCTGTGCCGTTGTCGTATGTGTAACCATTAACTGGTTAAGAAGATACCTCAAGAAATTGGATGCCTCCATTTTACAAGTATGTTTCCTTTCAGGGCAGAGAGAAGTTTTGAATGGAAGATAAGGATGATTCAAGGCAAAAGCATATATCCACCCTTTGCCCTTTCTTCACTGTGTTGGATACAGATCTCCACAACTGATCTTATGCTATAGGAAATGCGATTTCTGTGATGATGTCTTCCAATGCACATCCTATGAGGTGACTTGACAAGTTGCAATGTTAAGTCCCATTTAAAAGTTGAATCCTTTGGGAAACCAGAATTCTAATTAGTCCTAAGAAAAGATGGGTATGATGGGGAGAAGAACTCTGTATGCGTTCCAACCCATTAATTCTCAGTAGCCTCCATGAGATGAATGGTGCTCTGAGATACATAAGATTGCAGCTGTTGGGAACATGTACTTCTCAAATGTACCATTTTAGTCCCTGAAACGGGCATGGCAGTGATACAATTTTATAAGAGACGGGTGATGGTGTAGTTTTTATTGTGAACCTTTCAGACGTATGCTCTTAAAATACAAATATTTTAAACAATTCAGAAGTGAGGTTTTTGCGGTGGTTATCACATTTTTATTTTAAGAGAAGGGATTTTCACCCAAAGAGGTCTATAAAGAGCCAGTCTAGTGGTTAAGGCGCCAGGCTAGAAAGTGGTTTGTGAGTTCTAGTCCCAACTTAGCCATGAAAGCCAGTGGGGGACTTTGGGCCAGTCACTCTTAGCCCAACCCATCTCACAGACCTGCTGTAGGGAAAACAGACGGCTATGTATCGGGTATCTCATGGCCTTGAGTTGTTTGTAAAAGTAATAGAGGTAAATAAGCAAATGAAAATAGGTCTACTGAAGGTTTTTAAAAAAGCTTTAAAATGCCCCCCCCCCAATAATTGACTGCACCCTCTTGGAATCGTATGAGCTGCAAAGATGAGTAAAATTACTGCCCAGATAAGGATACATAGAGCTCATAGGAAGTGAGTTGATCATTCCTACAGCAGGTATATCTGCAAGGCAGAGGTCAAAGACATGAAGTTCCATCCCATTTTATGTCCCTGCCACATAGGCCCCTTTCCTAGAGTCAGATGCGTTTATTAGATCAATATGATCAACTAAAATTATTTTCTGAAATGAGAACAATATGGGCCAGTAATAGTTTTGTTGTAGTCTAAAATTGATTTAGAAGAGTTTTTGTTTCAAGATGGTCAAAAACAGTGAGGTTTGTGTTCTTTACACAGCAGTACATGTTTTGTTGAATGCAGCCCTGCATACCATGGCTTCAACAGTTGCTTCAGGTTGCCACTGCTTCCCCAGTGTGATTGGAGAACATCTGAGCCTTGCAGTCTCAATGCAGAACTTTGCAGTTCTGGAACTGAATTAATTTTCTTTCTTAATTAAGAGAGTAGAACAAGGATTATTGATTAAAAGCCACTAATCCTATGCCCTAATTCCTTTCACATTGAAAATACGTATATTGGAGAGTAACTATAATCAGAGTTGTAGGAACTCAATAAATATCTAACAATAAATTTTGAAGAGTAACTTAGAACATGTCTGGGAGACAGAAACTATCCAGCTCAAAAATGCTTCAGTCCAGAAAGGGCAGCCCGGGCTTTCCTGGTTCCATATCAAAATGCCTTGTTAAAATTAAACCTCCACCAGCTGTGTTTTACACCAGCTGGATTTAAATGTGCATTATATTACATGAAAAAAAAAATTAAGAGTAATTTGGGTATGAAATCTGCAATTTCAAGTTTATTCCACAAGGGGGAAATAAATACACATTTTTTTTCCTTTCAGTCTTTAAACTTAAACTTTGTTACAGTGCTCCCAGCAAAAATGCATTTCCAATCTTCCAGCAAGACTCAAGAGTATTCATAAAAGGTTCTTCAGACCTCTGTGGTTTATTTATTTAGCCTTGAAAAGGCTACTCCACTCAAAGATTCAGAGATTTTTCAGCTATTATTAAAGGCGATTTCTCCCACCCCTGTGACAAGCAAGCACTGGCAGTTGTAGCTTAGCATGTTGGATGTTCCCAGCCATCATGATTTAAAAGTCATCGTTTAGAGATGCTGTTAAAAGCCAGACACCTCTAATACAGCAGCAAAGAATTATTTTTTTCTGTCTCTTTTCTGCTATCTACTGTTGCATCCAGATGTTTATAGTCAAGATATCCTAATCCTCTTTTAACTGTATTGAGTAGTTCAACTACCATTAGTAACTGCTTCTAATCATAAAGCAGCTGAGGATATTAAAGATACCCACCAAATCTGCTAACCCTACAATGGTTTCCAATGACACATTTCTGGGTGGCTAAGTACATAACAACTCAAGATATACAAATTTTAAATAATCCATTTTGTTTTACTTTCTGGAATGACAGCAGTTCCCAGACTGATGGCAGTGAACAGGAAATGAAGTGATCAGGAGATCTCTCTAATGCCTTATTTCACTTTTTTGGGCACCAGGGGCCAGTTACGTAGAGAGAGGTTTTTCTGCAGATGGGGGAGGGCAGCGTGGTTTTATATGCTACCTGCATCCTACAAATGGGGCTTGTTTATTTGCCCCAGTTGCAGGCATGTCACAGCCCAGTACCGGTCCATGGACCGGGGGTTGGGGATTCCTGACTTATTTAACCTGTAAATAACACATCTTGCTTGTAATAGTACCAAGCAACTTGTACACCAGGTTCTTATTTTGTCTGATTCTTCTTGGAATGACCATGCAACCATGCAGTCCCACAAAAATCCACACTACGTTAAAATAATGTTAAACCTGGATTTAAAATCTCAATTTATTAAACCTTAAAGATTTGTTGGCACATAATATTCAGCCATAATGATAGGAGCACACATCCAGCTAACACAGAAACAAGCAAACGTCATTATGAATTAGCAACCCTTTTACTTTGCTCATTGAAGTAACCACACATGTCAACATTCAATGACAATCATTTTCATAGTAAACATTTCAGGGCATTAACTTGGTTAATATGTTTATTGTTCTGTCTCTAGAGCTCTTGCTCAAAACACAAACGACTAGCCTGAAATTACTGCACTTGGATACATTATGCAAAGTCCTAGTTCTCTGGAGAAGGCTCTGATGCTGGGAAAAGTGGAAGAAGATGTTGACTAGTAGCAAGGTGGTCGGACTTGATTACAGCACAATGGTGCATCTTAAGGACCTGGCTAAGAAGAGATTATCTTGGGCAAGAATTAACCCCATCTTGATGGCACATAATGAGTCAGTCAGTTTCCAGAGCCAGTCAGAGGACGGCCCTTTAGCGTGGGGGTCCTGTTTAGAGAGCCTCAAATGTAGGCTCTTGCTGTTTATTTTTCTAATTAAAATTTCAAATTATATTTCATCTGGTTTTATATACTTGGTATTTCTATTTTTTATTATCAGTAGTTATCTCAAAAACTTGGAAGTATTCCAGGGCACTTTCAACCTTTCATCACTAACCACGCTAAAGTTTAGAATGAACAAACAGCCCAGAAGTTTCATAATAAGAAGGGTACTTTACTGTTTCAATCCAAAAATTGAACTAGCTACAGGCTATTAAGCTAAAACAAAATATACTAGGAAAATAAGGAACAACAAGAACCAGTTTGGTCTAGTGCAGGGGTAGGCAACCTCGGCTCTTTTATGACTCATGGACTTCAACTCCCAGAATTCCTGAGTCATAGCTGACTCAGGAATTCTGGGAGTTGAAGTTCATGAATCATAAAAGAGCTGAAGTTGCCTACCCCTGGTCTAGTGGCTAAGACAGTAGATTAGATACCAGGAAACTGAGTTTTAGTCCCTCCTTATGCATGAAAGCTGGCTGGGTGACCCTGGGCCAGTCATTCTTTCAATCCAACCCACCTCACAGGGTTGTTGTGGGGAAAATAGGAGGAGGAAGGAGCATTAGATATGTTCACTGGATTGAGTTGTTTATAAAATAATAAAGGTGGAATAACTTTTTAAAATTGCTCATTCAGAAACCTTTCCAAAAGCTCAGACTTGATAGCACTTGGGCAGGGACGACCACAGGGTATGGTTAAAAAAAAAAGTCAAGATGACAGTCACAGTGTTACAATCAAACCTCTATCTATTTTTATAAAAATATGTGACACAGGTGACTTTGAAACTTTGAGCACATCATTATGGCCCCCAGCTTAACTTTTATTTAACTATAGCCTGCAAACACTGCTGATTTAGGCTGTACCGACAGCCTAACATTACAGAAATGTTCATTTAATGCTATGAATAGGAATATACTTGCTCATTCGAAGCATTTATTCAACTGTACCATGGGTATTCAGTGTGATCACATCTACCTATGAGGTTCTTATGGAAGAAGATGGAATAAGAGGAAGCCTAGAATTACTGTAGACCTACGAAGAGCCAAAATGATGGAGGTGCAGAAGAGAAGAAAGTAAAGAGCAATTTGAGAGGGTGCAGACATGTCTCTTTCTGCTGCTTTTCCTCCTTAATTAAAAAGATGACAAATGAAACATAAATGGTCTGAATAAGAGACTTAGGTGAGGGAAATGATGTGAATTAAATCTAGCCTCTCAGTTTGGAGGTCATTCCTTTACACAAAATGGATTTGAGCATCATCCAGGGGCATTAGCTCATTTTGGCCAGTGGCCAATTTGGAGGCACAGCACTGGAGTTGGCTGCATCTT